TAGTGGATCTTGTAGACCAGGCCCATTGCAAGTAGCTGTACTCTGTCGTCTACTCTAAGCCATCCTAGGTTGTCAAAGTGGGCAGAGGTGAGGTGGGTTCTAGATGAAAGGTCAAGCAGTAGTCTGACCACTCTCATGAGCGAGGCAGAAAATAATAGTTTTAACATGCCAAAAAGCTGCTGTGTCGTTTATTGCACCTCAAAGATTAAAACAAATCCAGAGTTACGTGTTTCTGTACTTCCTCTAAGATGAAAGGACAGTAACAGAAGATCTCTGTGGCTTCAGGCTTGATCGCCGTTCAAATGACAGCGTTGGTTTCCCCAAAAGTGGGCGAGGCTGTAAAGTGACGTAGATTTTACTATCATCTATTATTTAAAACCATTCTATTTATTCTAACGTAAATTACATGCCAGTGTTTTATATTTTTATTTATTTGTTTTTATTTTAAATCGTATAATGTCGGACTTTTTTTCCCGTCTGTGAGGAAAAGAAATGGGGCTCAGAGCCTCAAAATACTGAAATCTGTATTTTTTAAAAATCTTTTCCTTCTAATTTGTTATTATTTTCTAAATAACACACTGTTATTTACTCAACAATAACACACAATTATCCTTGTTTTTATTTATTCGTTTAATTCTATAATCTTGGGCTTTTTAGCCGTAAATAAAATCACCAGAAACAGACGGGACATTTCGAGCGATACACACCACAAACCCACCGAACTGATTACCCAAGATCCTCAGCTTGAAGCTCGTTGATTGGATGTTTTAGCCTTAATGCACGCTGGGATATGGTGTTAATAAGATACAGGGCCGTATTCACCATATACATTGGGGGGGACACATCCCCCCCAATATTCGGATACACTCAAAATGTCCCCCCCAATAAATAGCAACAAAAAAAAAAGTTTAAATTTAAAATTTTAATTTTTTTAATTAAAATAAAATTGCTATTCTATGACTTTTTGACAATGAGAGAGAGAGCAGCCAGGCAGGCGAAAATGAAGGTACAGGAAAGGAAGGGGAGGAGCTTGGACTTTGCCCAAATCATCCAAATTTGTGAAAGTCATACCCAGTCAAACCCTATCAAATAGAATACTCTACTTTCAGGAGAAGTGGTTTGAAGATCATACATGGCTCCATTACAGCCCCTCTGTAAAAGGGGTCCTCTGTTTCTATTGTGCTAAATACTTCGCAGCACAAAAGTCTAAGCTTGCGTCAAAAGCAGATTCAGCGTTTGTCAAGACTGGTTATAACAATTGGAAGAAGGCACTGGAGAAATGTAGTGTGCATGAACACAGCCAGTGTCACAAATTAGCTGTGATGACTAGGATTCAGGAGCCAGAGCCTGTTAATGTGCACATTTCACGTGAGCTTGAAAGATGGCAGCAACAAGCAAGAAGAAATCTGATGAAGATTGTTGAGGGTGTGAGGTACTTGGTCTGGCTTTTCGAGGCGATCAGAAGGAGAGTGGGAATTTAAGCCAGCTTCTAAAGTACAAGGCAACGGGCGATGCAGAGCTGACCTCCTGGCTAAAAGGTCCCCTCGATTTCACCAGTCCGGAATTGCAGAACGAACTGTTGAAGGTGATGGCCAATACAATCATCAAAGAAATTGTGTCGGAAATAACATCAATGCCAGTGGTCCAGTTCGCAATTATCATTCATGGCACCCAAGATATATCAGGAGTTGAGCAGGAGTCAATATGTGTGCGCTCTGTAGATGCAGATCTACAACCAAAGGAAGAATTCCTGGAAATCTACCAAGTGTCATCAACAACAGGGCAAAATATAGCCAAGATGGCATGTGATGTGATGACGCGCCTACAGCTTCCTCTGTCTCAACTCCGAGGACAAACTTATGATGGTGCCGCAAACATGGCCGGACGATTGCAGGGAGTACAAGCCATTTTAAGGAAAGAACAACCACTGGCTGTGTATTGTCACCGTGGTCCCCACTGCGTGAACTTAATTACGCAGGCTGCCTGTGGAGCCTCTCCACTAGTAAGAGATGCAATGGGTCTGGTCCATGAATTGGGGGGCTTCTTTAATCAATCTGGCAAGTTCAAGTTGATTTTCCAGAATATCGCAAAATCAGAGCATGGTTCAACTTTCACCTCATTGAAGCCTCTCTGTCCCACCAAGTGGACTGTACGTATCCCTGCCATCCGCTCAGTTCTCAAGCAGTATGAGTCAGTGCTGATGGCCCTTGAAGAAATGGCATCATGCAGCTCACCTGAAACTTCAGCAAAGGCCAATGGTCTTCATGGAACATTTCTTAAAGGGAACACTGTGCTCGGCCTTTTAATGGCTGAAGACCTGATGGGGGATTTGGAGTGCCTGAACACCTCCCTGCAGCTTAGGAAACAGACCGTTTCAGGCATGTTGGAGGCTGTAGACCATGTCAAAACAAGCATGCAGGTCAAACGAATGGAGGAGCATTTTGATGTATTGTTCTCGAAAGCAACTGCTGTGGCAACAAAGTTGGACCTACAACCAATTCAGATCCCTCATGTCCGCAAACCTACAAAGCGTTACACCGGTCAGGCTGCAGCCCATATCCATCCCGATGCCCAGTCCTTGTACAGAGTCCAATTCTACAATGCCTTGGACACAGTGAATACTCAATTCATAGAGAGGTTTGAACATGCTGGATTCCACAAGCTGCAGCAGCTTGAAAATGTGCTGCTACACGGAGACATGGACAAGGTGGTAGAAGAGTATCCTGAATTGAATTCAAGACTACTGCAGGTGCAGCTGGCCATGTTTGGGGCTAATTACACCTATGAAACAAGCTCAGATGTTGCTAGCATTATTCAGGAAATGGTGCCAGAGGTGAGAGGTCTCTTCGGTCAGGTGGAAGCTTTAGTAAGGAGTTTTAGTGCCCTGAGGAGGCTTAAGACATGGCTTAGATCATCGATGAGTCAAACGAGGCTGAATAATGTGGCCATATGTTATGTGCACCAGAAGAAACTGGACAGACTGGACCTTGAAGGAATATGCCCGTCTTTTATCAGTGCCAACGATAAGCGCAAAAAGGCTTTTGGGTCCTTTACTTGAGGGTTGGGCTTTTTGGGCGGGTGTCTGGGAGGAAGTTGGGGGTCTTTTTGATTTTGAATGAGCAGCAAGCAGCTAGAGCGAGTCGTGGCTGTAAAACAAAAGGGCAATAAAGTGTTCCTGTTTCTACTGAAATTGCGTGGCACAGACCTTTCTATGGATTGAAATGCTTTAATGTGATTATGGTTATAGTTGTACTTTATTCATCCCTAATCTCTGCCATTACAAACAACAAAACAAGAAAAGCTAAACTAGATAAAATAGGGCGATGTAATACAATGCACAATTAGACATTATGGTAAAACATTTTAACCAGTTAAGCCCCAAGCCTGTTTTTCAGGTCTCAGGTTTGAAAATGACAAAGAACAAATGACTATATCTTCACTTCTAAAAATGGTTAAATGAATAATCTTTTTTCTCAAAGCAATGATAAACCTGTGAGTTGGATGTAGAAAAAGTCAGAATCAATATAGATGTTTTTAAAGTAAATTCAGATTGAACATAGTAAAAAAATGTAAATGATAGTGTCCGTGCAAAAAATAAACCATTACTTATTGTGAAAACCACCCTTGAATGATGTGATAGTAGACTAAAAGCTTTAGGAATCCAAACTATAACATATAATAAGTACCCTGTATCAAGATTGATGCAAAACAAGTATTTCCAAGGCACACCTTTATATGATCATTATAGTTATACAAAATAAGAGAATAACAGAATAACAGGTATGGAAGTTCTGTTTCACATGGGTGTTGTTGAGATGTATCCATAGATTTAGTCCCTAATGTTGCTCTCAAAGTGCACCAGATTGATGCTTTTAACTTCAACATTTAAAAACAAATCTTCCCGGGGGAGCATCCCCCCGGACCCCCCTAGAGGAGGTTAGGTCCCCCGCCCGCCCACACACCCCGTCCAATTGTCCCACCCACATTGAGGATGCTTCCTACACCCATGCCTGAGACACAGTTTCGTGACTATTGTTGTGTTTTGCCCCCACGGGCAGGGGCATGGGGTTTAACAGGTTTTAAAGTATCCAATGTGTTAGTGATTTTTTATGTATTTTCCTTTAGAATGGCAGGAAATTAGTATTCAAATTTGTATTGAATTGTTGGTCCCCCCCAATGTTGACTCCATGAATACGGCCCTGATAAGATATGATATCCGAAAACGAAAAATAAAATAATACCTAATTCAAAGTGTTCTTGCTTTTCTCTTTGAAAGTCATCACATAACGGCATTGTAATACACGGTTCGGCTGCATTAAATATTACACATCTGCTGTAGTTCTTTATTTATAGAGCCCTGATGAGAAGACTTCTAGACAAACATGAGGAACTGCCGCCAAAACTGAATACTTGACGTGGATCATAAATATATCAACAATTAAACAACATCTTCAATTTCTTTTCACAAAATACGTCTCCTTGCAGTATCAATAGTAATTCAGCTGACTTTTATATTTGATCCAATTGGTAGATATGTTATATTTACACCATAACGGTGCACAGCTGATAGAAAAGGACTTGTAGTTTTTAAAGATATTACTGATTTTCTTTGAATATAAGAATATAAATACTGAGTTGAGAGAATAGTCAGGGGATTTGGGTGATGGGAGAAACATCTATGGAATCACAATTTCAATAGCTTACCATTAAATGACGGATATACCTTTATGTCTGTGATGTTTTATAAATCAGATATTAATGTTAGAAGTAAAACATGAGAAATAGTATAGCAATATCCTGTAAAATTATGTAAAAACATGAATAAAACTACACATCTTCAGATGTTATACATACACAAGTGTCCTACACTAATAATACAAAGTTATTATTTGTATGCTGTGTGGTGTTATTGTATATGTGTGTGTGTTAGCCAATAGGAGTGAAGCCTTACGGGCACGGTTGATTGACGTCATAGGCAGAGGACATGTTATGGTAACGCGGCATGTGAGCTAGGTGTGTGCTAGCATGTGGGCTACCAATAAAGAGACACGTAATTGTGACAGTTAAACTCACGTGTATTATTGAATAACACGACATGGTGTCAGAAGTCCTGTCGACAGTACGTGGAGTGTGACCGGGAAAAAGTATTGTTTGGAGCCAATTGACGGTGAAAAGGGAAGAGGACATGGCAGACGAGAATGCTAACGGAGATGCAGCGCGACCCGCGGCGGGACCGAGTGCTACGTTTAGCATCCAGCCACCGGAGCCTTTCGACTTTTCAAGACCGCAGGAATGGGCCAAATGGATACGGCGGTTCGAGAGATTTTGCCTGGCAAGTAGTCTGAACAGTAGCTCAGAAGAGAATAAAGTCAACACATTGATATACTGCATGGGAGATGAAGCAGATGATATTTTACGTGGATTGACTCTCACAGCGGCTCAGAGAGACACTTACTAAGTGTGCGGGATGGCTTTGAAGGCTTCTTCGTTGTCAAGAAAAATGTCATATATGAGTGGGCAAAGTTTAATATGCGCAGACAGGGAGAAGGTGAACTAGTGGACTCGTTCGTCACAGCTCTATATGCACTAGCGGAGCATTGTAGCTACGGAGTGCTACATGATGAACTCATTCGAGACAGGCTTGTTGTCGGATTGACGGAAAAGCGGCTGTCTGAACGGATGCAACTGGACTCAGACCTTACCTTGGGAAAAGCCATTACCATGGCTCGGCAGAGTGAAGAGGTGAAACGGCAACAATCTTCTCTGCGAGGTGACGATAGAACTGAGGCATGTGACGCTAAATTAGTGGACAGAGTGTTTAAGAGCAGTAGCAAATATGCTAAAAACAAAGCTCAATCTGCTAATAGCTACCAAGCCAAGCCACAATACAACAAGGGTAATGATGCAAAGTGTTATAACTGTGGTTGTTCTCCTTCACATGTAAAGACTGAGTGTCCAGCCAAGGATGTAAAATGCCATGCATGTGGGAAAATGGGATATTATATGCGCGTGTGTAAAGCAGCTAAAAGCGTGCATGAGATTAATGAAGAAGAGGAAAGCTTGTTCTTAGGCAGTATTGAGGCCGACAATGATCCGTGGATGGCAGACATTGACATTAACAACAAAAGCGTGCAGTTCAAAATTGACACTGGGGCTGATGTTACAGTCATTCCTCACTCCGTGTTTAAGGAGGTCTATAAGCACAAAGCTCCACCAGCTCTTCAAAAGCCAAGGAAGCCACTTTGGGGTCCAGGGAAAAATCCTTTAGACGTAGTGGGCTTTGCTAGTATGCTGCTGAAGAAAGGAGAGAGAGAACTTATGGAGGATGTGTATGTCATTCGACGCTTGCAAACAGCATTGCTCGGGAGGCCTGCCAGTGTAGCGCTGAAGCTAGTGGCACGACTAGACAACGTCACTATGGACACGCTAAAGACTAATTACCCAACAGTATGCAGCGGTCTTGGAGAGGTGCAGCAGCCATATGCCATTAAGCTGAAACCAGGGGCCCAACCGTTTTCTCTGAAGACGCCTAGAAGGATTCCACTGCCACTGATGGACAAAGTCAAAGAGGAACTGTCCCACATGGAAGACCTGGAGGTGATCAGCAGAGTTGAGGAGCCTACAGATTGGTGCGCTGGCATGGTGGTGGTGCCTAAAAAGACAGGAGCTGTTCGCATATGTTTGGATCTAAATAAACTGAACGAGTCTGTGTGTCGAGAAAAATACATTCTACCTTCAGTGGAAGAAACACTGGGAAAGCTGGCTGGAGCCAAAATATTCAGCAAGTTAGATGCAAACATGGGGTTTTGGCAAATACCTCTAATAAAAGGCTCAGCCAAGTACACAACGTTCATCACACCCTTTGGCCGATACCACTTCAATCGGCTACCTTTCGGCATAGCCTCAGCCCCTGAGCATTTCCAAAACAGGATGACAACTGAAGTAACTGAGGGACTAGAGGGCGTCTTCTGTCACATGGACGATGTACTGGTGTGGGGCCAAACACAGGAGGAGCATGACGCTCGTCTGTATGCTGTGCTGGAGAAGATCCAAAAGGCAGGAATCACCTTGAATGTGGAAAAGTGTGACATATCCAAACAGGAGGTGACATACCTGGGCCATGTGATCACTGCTAGCGGCATTAGACCAGACCCGAGCAAGACAGAGGCGGTAAGGAAAATGGAAGAGCCGAAAAATGTGAGCGAGCTGAGGAGCTTTCTAGGCATGGTCAACCAGCTGGGGAAGTTCATACCGCAGCTAACAGAGCGAGACAAGCCACTTCGAGACCTGCTCTCCAAAAAGAACTGCTGGCTGTGGGGCATCGATCAGGCCAGAGCCTTCCAAGATCTGAAAGACTCTCTGATATCTCCACCAGTGCTAGCCATGTATGACAGAAACAGAGAAACCAAGGTCTCAGCAGATGGATCATCATACGGCTTGGGGAGTGTGCTTCTGCAGAAATGGGAAGAGGATTGGAGGCCGGTAGCCTATATGTCACGTTCTCTCACACAGACGGAGCAGAGATATGAAAAGGAAGCTTTAGGCTTAACCTGGGCTTGTGAAAGGTTTCGCAACGTTCTCATCGGTAGACACTTTGAGCTGGAAACGGATCATAAACCTCTACTGAGTCTCCTGGGGTCTCAGGCATTGGATGCGCTTCCCTCACGGATTCAACGTTTCCAGATGCGCCTGATGCGTTATTCCTACTCAATCACACATGTGCCAGGGAAAAGCCTGTGGACGGCTGATACACTGTCACGTGCACCTGTGAAAAGTGACTCCACACCAGATGAAAAAGAGTTCCTCGAGAGCACGAATATCTATGTGGACATGATTATCGATGGTTTGCCAGCAAGCACGGCTTACCTGGAAGAGCTAAAAGAGCAGTTGGCAAAGGACAGTGTGTGCGGAAGAGTGATGCAGCTGTGTGAAGAGAAATGGCCAGCACACAGCAACAGCGAACCAGCCATAAAGTTATACTGGGCGGAACAAGCGTTCATAACTGTAAAGGACGGACTACTGTTAAAGGGGGACAGACTCGTCATCCCCGCAATAATGAGAAATTATGTGCTTGCCAGACTACATGAAGGTCACCAAGGAGTGGTGAAGTGTAGGGAGCGTGCCCGACAGTCTGTATGGTGGCCAGGGCTAAGTCAGCAGCTGAATGAGTTGGTTCTCAACTGCCGGACATGCAGCAAGGAGAGACAGAACCCCAAAGAGCCGCTGATGCCAACACAATACCCAGGCCGACCATGGCAGAAACTGGGTGCCGACTTGTTTATGCTGGGAAGCAAGTCATATCTGCTGGTAGTGGATTATGCATCAAGGTATGTGGAAATGGCTTTGCTGACACCCACAAAATCAACAGATGTAATCCACCATCTCAAATCCATCTTTGCACGACATGGTATCCCTGAGACGCTGGTCACAGACAACGGGCCGCAGTTCTCGGGAAGGGCATTTGAAGAGTTTTCAGAGTCGTATGGATTTAAACACATTACCAGCAGCCCGAAATATCCACAGAGCAACGGTGTGGCAGAACGGGCTGTGAAGACTGTAAAGAGTCTCCTTAAGAAAGCAGCAGACCCATATCTGGCTCTGCTGGCTTACAGAACCACCCCACTACAAAACGGGTATAGCCCTGCGCAACTTCTCATGGGGAGGAGGCTTCGCACGACGGTGCCAACATTACCAGCGCTGCTGGATCCTGCTCTTCCCGACAGCGAGGCTGTAGTTCTGCGAGAAAGAGAGAGGAGAATAAAGGATGCACAGCAATACAACCTGCGTCATCGAGTGAGAAGTCTCGAGAGGCTTACACCGGGAAAAGAGGTTTGGGTCACGGATCAGAAGGCGAGTGGAACGGTTATGGGAAGTCACAACACACCGCGCTCCTACATTCTTGAGGGACCTCATGGGACAGTCCGGCGAAATCGCCATCATCTCATCCCCATGTACTCCTCGTCAGAGCAGAGCGGCAGGGATGCAGCTGAGCAGCATTCAGGAGGTGGTCCAGAGCCGCATATTGCAGAACCTCCGGAGCCCGGTGCTCAAGATCTGCCACCTACCCCGAGAACCAGGTCTGGGAGAGCCGTGGTGAGACCGGCTAGGTTGGACTTGTAAACAAACCAGAAGCCTAAGAGATATTATAGAGTTTTATAAGAGAGTAAAAAAAACTGGTTATTATTAATGTTGTGCATTAATGTTGTGTAATACACAAAATATCATAGGGTTACATTTAGTTCATGAAGGTCTGGAGTTAACTGTTATTTTATATCTGGTTCAGATAGGAACAGACCTTCCACCCTACAGAGGCAGAATAATCCTCTAAGGTCTGTGGAGTCAATGGCAGTCTACCCATTGATTCATAAAAAGGGAGATGTGGTGTTATTGTATATGTGTGTGTGTTAGCCAATAGGAGTGAAGCCTTACGGGCACGGTTGATTTACGTCATAGGCAGAGGACATGTTATGGTAACGGCGCATGTGAGCTAGGTGTGTGCTAGCATGTGGGCTACCAATAAAGAGACACGTAATTGTGACAGTTGAACTCACGTGTATTATTGAATAACACGACAGATTGTGTACCTTGTGTGCACCGCCTAGTGGTTAAAGCACGTTGTTGAATTATTTTTGTTGAATAATGTTATTTTTGTTGAATAATGTTATTTGATGAAAAAAATATTAAGAGTACATACTTTCATAGGGGGAAAGTAGAAGGTCAATGATAGAAATATAGAATATAAAAAGTCAAGAAGATACTATAAGTGATCTCTACAATAAAACAGTTTAGTGCCGGATGTACAAAGATATTAATAGGAGGATGTGCAAAACAGAAAACGAATGAACCTTTATTAACACATTAAAGAATACTTTAGGTTAAGGTCTTCTTTTAAACAAGAAAAAAGCTTTGGGATATCTATCTATCGATGAATATTAAGCCTGACAAAGTACTTAACGTCTAATATATTGCTTTCCTGCAATGTTAACTATGTTGAAGCACTTATTTTAACTGATATTATACACATTAATTATACTCTTATGTATGTAGATAGAATAAGAAATGTGCAGAATATGACAGTTTAATGGTGGAGGTATACACACATATTGATAGATGTCTTGTAATGCGCTGTTGAGGAACCTGCGACCCAAGTTGTGTATATGATCAAAATCTTGAAAGGGATGTGCAAAATAGTCATTATACAGTTTTTAATTAACTATTAGTAGAGAATAACGAGTAATGAATATACTTTATAGAGATCTGCAGATAAATGTTTAGTCTTCTCAAGCACCAACAATCAAATATCTCTCCTGATTGTTGGCACTTGACAATCACCTTCCCCTGAATTGTACTCAGGTGTAACTAAAGTCTGCTTTAAGCATAGCCGCGGGAAGTCATTTTGCTCAGGGGGTGCTGCCAAAAGTGGGGAGGGGGCCGGCTGTCAGCGATACGAGCCACATAAATTGTTTGTTTAAGGCGAGACACCGCAGGCAAAAACATCATTTTTCAAGCACTGGTCAATTTTGAGATGTTGTGCTATTTTGATTCCATAACATGTTTTCTTTCAGGCTTTTGGAAGGAAAATGTACAAAATACACATTTAAGTGGTTTTCTTACTATAGTTTGTCTATTTGCGTCTGTATATTTCTCCTAAATTCACCAAAAGTTAGCATTCTAACGTAACATAAAGTACCGCGACCGCTGTTTGCACGATGTCAACAGAGATATCGTTGGAAAGCTCCGTCTCTCCTGCACAATCTCATCAGATCCAAATATGGTCATTGCCTTTGTATCAGCAACCGTGAACGTACAAAAGGGTCTTAAACCAAGAAACGAAATCTCATTGGCTGGTGTCAACTTCTGACAACGTGATTCGTTCAGATGCGTCACGTGGTGTGCTAAAACACTTCCTGGTTAGCTTTCCGCTAGAAATTGAAATCTCAAAATGGCAAAAGAACGGCGAAAAAAAACGTTCACAGAGAAGACAACAACAATTGTCACTTGCACGAAGCAAGGTTATACAAAAAACAAATGACCCCGAACATGAAATACCTTCACGGAGTGCGTCAATGCGCAAGCTGTCATCCAAAGAACAGGAGGGTTTAGCTAGCGCCTCACTGCAATCTTTAAAGGTCGTTTTCTCAAAATGAGTTGTTTCTCCTACTCTGAGTCCGACATTTCCACTTCAGTTGCACTTACATACACCAAACCTTCCAGTTATATTCCTATCAATATTATGAAGGCTTTTACAGAAGGGTTTGTTCATATGTCATTCATAGCCTGAATTATATAAGTTGTTATACCTAGAAACATGGCGAAAATGGATATTTTAGGGCTGTTGACAGTATTTTCTGATTAATGGAGTGATAAAAAGAGATATCCAAAATCCCTTCTGTAAAAGCCTTAGATACTAATATGACTACAAAATGAAACGAGCATTATGAACCTGGCTTTATCCAAAGTTCAGATTTCGGTTCCTGAAATGTGTTAAGATATGCGCACATTTAATGAGATAATGGGTAATTTGCATATTCAGAAAACTTGTAATACAAGAAACAATTGCCTCATTGTAGGTAATTAACTGGAGAGATTTCCAGCTGATATCTTTAAGTTAAAAAAAATTACCCTATTCACCTGGTGTCTCGCCTCTGTTAGGCTTAATACACCATTATAGACCTACATCACTTAGCAACAGCTGCACATGCCCACATGCTAACTATGGGTCTTACGAACCTACATAACATTACAAATAGTCAGGAAATATTATTTACAATATTAATAAAACTATTAATTCAATTTTAACTGATTGACAAGGCAAAACACTGCACAGCGGCAGCAGCATTAAATAAAAAATATCGTCTTACCTTGTGTTGGGGCTTCACAAAACTCCAAATGTAGCCTGGGGTGGCACTAATGAAGACCCTCATTAGAGCAGATAGATCCACATTATCCAAAATGTTTCTATGGACATGCATCAAAGTCAGATGTGTCAGTCTCTTCTGTGTCATATTACTCTAGTTGTAGAGGTGGTGGGCTGAGGAGTAGCTGGTGGTCCACTCTTTTTATTGGGTTGTTTGTTGGAGAAAAAAATCCAAAATCCTTTTTTGTGCCATTCTAGAAAGTTGTCACTCTGCAGTGTGTGTGTCGCGTCAATTACGTCACTCTCCCACGACCTACGACCTAGATGACTCGGATTTTATTTATTTGGAAAATAAATTCAAGCCACCTGACTGATACAAATATATACTATGACTATTATATACTACTGTATACTGCTAATTTTATTTTAAGTGAAATCATAACTATTTGATGTAGTTTAATCATTTTTATTTAGGTGGTCACTCAGTTTTTCAAATGTACACCACTCGCCAACAGGGGGTGCTGCAGCACCCCCAGCACCCCTACTTCCCGCGGCTATGGCTTTAAGGGTTGTTTATATTTCACATCATTAATCAGAATCTGCAAAGTAACTAAAATAAATGTAGTGGAGTAAAAATACCAGGTTAACCTCTGAATTGTAGTGGAGTAGCATTACAAAGTAACAATGAGCTGTCATGTGGGTATTAATGCTGCGCATTGTGGACACAAGCGATTTTCACCCATTTAGTAATTACATGTTTTAAATGTGTACACACCAATGTGTTTCCTATCCCCTAAACCTCCAGGGCTGTACACAGTTTAATACTGGCAACTTCTAATCTTGGGAAAAACGTCTTTTAAAACTACAATTCCCAGTAGATACGCGCCATAGAGAACATGTTGCGAAACACAATAGCCAGCATGTGTATTTCTCGGGGGGCGTTCGAGTCCAGTTTTGAATAGTCTGCCGTGGTTTCGTTCCATTTCAAAGAGCTTGACGCTCGGCGTAACCTTGGCGCACTGCCACTCCAACATCACGGGGTTTGTCAACGGGACTGTAGTCCCAAACGATAGCTGGGGATTATGGGTAGTGTAGTGTCTTCGGCCATCCTAAATCTCGAAATGTCCCGTCTGTTTCTGGTGACTTTATTTACGGCTAAAAAGCATGCTAAAAAGCCCAAGATTATAGAATTAAACGAATAAATAAAAACAAGGATAATTGTGTGTTATTGTTGAGTAAAAAACAGTGTGTTATTTAGAAAAGAATAACAAATTAGAAGGAAAAGATTAAAAAAATACAGATTTCAGTATTTTGAGGCTCTAAACCCCATTTATTTTCCTCACAGACGACAAAAAAAGTCCGACATTATACGATTTAAAATAAAAACAAATAAATAAAAAGATAAAACACTGGCATGTAATTTACGTTAGAATAAATAGAATGGTTTTGAATAATAGATGATAGTAAAAATCTACGTCACTTTACAGCCCCGCCCACTTTTGGGGAAACCAACGCTGTCATTTGAACGGCGATCAAGACTGAAGCCACAGATATCTTCTTTTACTGTCCTTTCTTCTTAGAGGAAGTACAGAAACACGTAACTCTGGATTTGTTTTAATGTGTGAGGTGCAATAAACGACACAGCAGCTTTTTGTCATGTTAAAACTATTATTTTCTGCCTCGCTCATGAGAGTAACAGCTGGCGAAATGACAGCCTCGCCTACTGATTTTAATTTAACCATATATCGAGCCCGATTGTCGATTTCAAAGGTGTGCTCTAAAATGATATTTATAAATCACTATTATCATTATTATAAGCAAGACAATAAATGGCAAAGATATGTAGAAAATAAACGTATTTAAGATACGTTCATAACGAACGTAACGTGGGAGTAAATAAGTTTCTAGCTAAACGTAATTCAGAATGCAGTTTAGTTCTGTGGGAACGTAATTTTTAGGAGACAGGGTTGATTTATATAGTGCCTTTCAACCCTATGGGACAAAGAGCTTTACAATTAGCCTCCGGACACATTCACACATGCATTCATACTTTAATACACACATGCTCTACAGAGGCCTGTTTTGACCCTTGTATGATAACGGTTGGTTTAGTCTTTAAATGCGGTTCTGTCTCGGGATCAGAAATCCCTTTACCACTGAAATGCACTTAGCCTATCACTGAAATGCACTTGGAAGCAAACAATAACAATGGCTGGATCCAGTCCATAGTACGCTTGGCAGGATTTTTAGAGGTCAATGTGGATTAAATAGTTCAATGAAAAACCTCATTTAGTTACAGTGCAACTAAAATCTCCTTTTTCATGAAAAATACTCAGTTGCAACAAAACCCTACACCATGTCATCAACCTTTATTTTTTTAATTGTATAAACAAATGCTATGTAGCTGAATTTACTTGCATTGTGTTTTCAAATCAATCCAAATTTTTGGTTTGGTCACTGGTCCATCATGTTCAAAAGGCACGCTGTACTGGATCCATCATAGCCTCTAAAGCAGATAAAAACATTTAGGTTAACATTTGTTTAGCTGAAATAGATCATCAGAATATAAGCTATGTTTTTGATTGGACACTTACGTTGTGACTCTGATGATTCAGTTTTTTGGGTGGTAAAAAAGGAGATACAGTTCTGTGCCATGCCGAGGCAGAGAGTACAGAAGGTGTAGCTGCAGTCTCCTGAACATAAGCCAGAGCACACGTCCACACACATCTGGCAGCAGATGTCACAGCAGTGTTCAGAGCAATATCTCCAGTGGTCACACACACATGAGCAGCCATCAGCCGCTCTGCAGTCCTCCTTACTTTGCAGGCAGGAGTTGCAAGGTTTGCAAGACTTTAACCCCATGGGTCTGCCTGTTAAAAATACACACAGACAAGGGGAGACGAGTTATTGGAAGAAATCACTGTCTGGAAAGATTGACTCCTTTTCAAGTCTAGAATTGGAATTGCGGCTGTATATACAAAAAAGAAACTCTGTGGAGAAGATGCTTATAATTGACTGTCAGCCTGTCAGAATTGTACAAGTTTCCTGCTAGCTCAAATTGAGTTCAAAGTTCTTGCAGTATTTGCGGATGTCTCTGTGAACAGTTTGTCTTTAGATAAAATGCTTGATGTCATAGTTTGATCCCTGAGGCCTTTACTCCAGCCTGCTCCGTCATCTCCAACATGCATAAGACAAGGAATGAAGTCAGCCTGAACAGCAATTCTACCCTTCAAAAAAATCTTTAACCTCAAATGCCACTTCCGAGTTATTCTCTGTTAACACAAAATCAAAATTCTCAGAACACCACAGAAGTATGTTTCAGGACTACTTGTCACGGGGCCTTCAGGATAGAGACAGTGGTAAGCAAGGATAATGAGCAATGCAACATGAATGAGTAAACACTGATTTCATTATGACAACATTGCTACCAAACACCCAAGTTTCTGAACAGAATATAACAACTTAATAATGAGAGGAAAATTATGATTTCTGGATTTATATGGAAAGGCCAAATACGTTTGGAAAGATGGAAACATTTGGATAAGAGCTGCCAACACAACTTACCTCTTCAATCACTATTAGGGGAACTCCTCATTCAGAGAAAGTGCTGGGCAATGATCCCTCTGAATCTCTGTTTTAGAGAATGCAGTAGTGATGTAATTTCACCCATATTCCTGGGTGGATTAGCAGAGATAAGGTCAATCATTGTCTAAGAGGTGATTCATTATCTCTTAGCAATATTTGTACTCAAAGAATGTTCTCCAAACACTGCTCGCACCATTTGAAAAAGGAAGATTTTAGAACGCCAAACAACAATACAGTGAATAGGGCTTGACAATTAAACTTGTAGTATGGAAATGTTGACTCTTCTTTGAAACTTAATGGATACATTTGCTGATCATTGGATTAACTGGCTTCTCTTAATACAGGACGGGATTTGAATTTGAAATTACTCAGTTTTCCTACTTGTGTGTACCTCTTTCATCTGTATTATCTGAGGCTTGTTTTTATCTGAGGCTTGCAACATACCCCTTCACATCAGAGTTTAATTTAGGCCAATGAAAGGTTGCTCGGTGTTACCTATCTGTTGTTCCCTTCCCTGGACATCTGTGTGCACTAACCCTTACTCACCTCTCACTATTGAAACATAGCCAAGTACTCAAACAGGGACACATTTTGTATAGAACATATAGTGTATAGAACATTTGATACTGGCTCTGTGTAACGGTTTCCCCAAAAAATAGTACAACCTTTAAAGCTTTGCAGTCTTTTAACCATTTTATATGTGATTTTGAAGACCCATTTTGTTTTATGTCTGTTCTTTTTCATTCTAAAACTCAATACAAAACAAAGTTCACAAATACATAAATAAAGATAGCAGTAGTATACCAGATGTTTGAAACAATAAATTGCTTTTTGTTTGTACTCAAAAGTACATTTTATAGATAAAACAATGTGCAGAGTTATTGTAATGGTCCTGTTTTTACACATCAAATAAAGGCTGACATACAAATGAAAGAGTACTCACTTTGCACACTGCAGTTGGAAGAAGAATCCTGACTTTCCCAGAGCATATATAACAGATAGCTCAATGTCAAACTGATCTTACATGATCATCATTACATCAACAGTCTGAAGCCAATCACATTGATGTGTGACGCCCTGCGCACTGTCTTGAAGGCAACCTCAGTAGTCAATAGGCTGTTATGGGAGGGCCATCAGCTGATTATGCTGTGCCTTGCCCTCAGGCCAGAGGCCCAGTGTCCCACCCTTCTTACAGCTCCACCCTATATTCCCCTTTGTTTTTTTCCTCCAATACCTCAATAGCACACATAACACTTATGAAATGCTTGCTGATCTACACTCGATTGCCGGTTTTCTGTTAACTTCAGTAGACATTCTTAAAGTAAATGTGAATTATATTTCTTGTGTGGATTTACCCATTTTTTCTCTGAGCCATTTGTTTGAGGCATGTCAATAAAAAACAGCCAAGTAGATGTAGGCCAGTGCTACACAAATACATAAAGCACTAAAATAGAAAAAGCAATGTGGAAGAATACAGTCAGCAATGCTACCCATACAGTATGAATGCACATTGTGTTTTTGTTGTTTGTGGACATTTTATTGTATCGTCGGCCTTGAATTTATGACATTTTACACATAACATTTGATATGTTTGTTTATTGCATCTGTACCCATATTTCTCTTTTAAAACAAGTATTTTCCCAAGCCCCAGGAGCATGTCACAGCTGACAAATAAACCTTTAAATCCCTTAAATCATTTAAACGTATTAAACACCTCCACGTTACACGTTCTATTGTAATGTCTTTAGTACAATGCAGAATGGATCGTACAAGATATTATTTTGAAGTTGATTTATCAAACTCAGAATAACTTCAGTTTGTGGCAGATTTGACATTTCATTTTATTAAGTGTTCAACTGTCTTTAAAAACCGATAACTTCCTTCCATAAAATAAACAATGGTCCAGCGATTAAAAACTACCAAGGAAACAGATTGCCTTTATATTTTTACTTACATATTGTATTCTCACAGGAGCTATACTCATCACGGTTAATCAAGGACAGAGAACAGACTACATCTGTTCACATGACAGCTCTCCTGACATTTTATAATTTCCCTTCCTTACTTCTGTGATGGAAAGTATGGTACTAAAGCTTAATACAGTGTAAACCTAATGAAATGTAAACTGCTGTATTCTGAAAATGTCATGTCAACGGTTTGACTGATTAGGTCAAATCCCTGGAGTGACCTTTGAATGTGTGTGAGTGATCAACAGATGTTTTTGCAAGGGGGTTTTATGACACTACAGGAAGGATGAGGGGAAGGAATTTACGATAAGGGATTATCTGTATATCCCACTGTCTTGTAGGGTGTGATGGTTTTGCATACAGTGCCAGAGGGGGTATCAGCTGGCCTCCCAGAATGATGTTGTAATGTACATCTGCTTTGATGTCCTCTTATAAAGAGAGCCTGTTTTACTCAGAACAGTACGTGCTCTCTGGTGAGACGTCATACTTGCAAGTATAAAGTTCCTTATTGCTTTTAATACGAATATTGTGTTGCTGTACGTTTGTTACCTTACTGATTATTCTCCCTAGACCACAGCTGATTTGAAAGCTGCTACGACACTTCCTTCTCTATCATTCTGTCTCTTTCTCTTTTTCACAAGCCTCCTGTTTTTCAGTCAAACACACATTCCTACTTGCTCTCTATAACAAAAATACTGGACAGTAGAGCGCCAGTGAAGCAGATTTGACCTTGACGACTGAGAGTGAATTGACAGTAATAAAATGTGGTTATGAGCTTTTGTTGGCCCTAGGGCATCTATTAATGAATGACATGAGCAGCTGTGAGATTTGGGGACAAGCAGGGGAGGAGGACTGACGGAGGACAGGTGACAGCAGCTCACACACGACCCTCACCTGTGATGAGCTCAGCAGCCAGCAACTAGCACAGAGTTCACACTTAAACATTCTATGGCATGTATTCAGAGGGCTGCATCCAGACACTAATGTGCACTCGAGCGTAAAGCAATGTAGGCTACAGAAGTGTTAAAACTAGGGCCGGGACTCGATTAAAAAAATTAATCTAATTAATTAGAGGCTTTGTAATTAATTAATCGAAATTAATCGCATTTTTAATCACATATAAATATTTGACCTAAGAACAGTGAGAAGCAATTTTTTTCACATGGATTTTAGTATACCATTAGGCGCATTCACACCGCAGTACTTTTCCCACAAAGGTTCATGAGAATTTAGTTCATGAGAACTCTTTGAACCTGGGGGTGGATTAGTCAAATTAAGCCACTGACGTCACTTCTTCTTCTTCTGCTTTGGGTTTACTGGCAGGCCGCAAACCACTTCACGGCGTATACTGCCGCCCAAAGTCCCCGGCCGGAAGTCCCCGGAGTTGGGGACTGGCTTCAGTAGAAGCTGCTGGGAGTCCCAGCAGCCTTCCGAGTAAATCGCCAGAACGCCGACACCTCCTCATCTCCACCGCTCCCATGTTTTATTTTGTGTTGCCATAAGTTAGTCTCTCTGCGTTTCTGCGCTGGGCTAATGCTAATAATGCTAATGCGAGGATAATAAAATGGCGGCTTCACAAAACTTTTTGGGAGTTTTACGGGGCGTGGTTTGCAATCCGCCCAGCCAATCAGAAATATAGCTCTTTTCTCACAAGAGAGCCGTACGAAAGTCCCTGCTCTCTAGCAGCTCTCTGCTCTCTAGCAGGGACTTTCGTGGGGGTAAAAAGGTTCTCATGAACTAATTTTAGTACCGGCTCTTTTTGGTGTGAACGCGATAAAAGAGGCTAACGTCCACGCTAGCTGCTATATGTTTTGCATTGAGGTGATACTTGAGGCTTGATGTGCTGCGGTGATATGCGAATTCCTTTTTGCATAATTTGCACACAACCGTGCTCTTATCGACGCTTCCATCGGTCCGTTTTTTAAAACATTTCCCACTGTTGTTCACTGTGGTTTGTTGTTGTCTGAAGTCATGAACGTTAGTTGGTGCTCCAGTATAATCGGTACGCCTGAAACTCATCCAGTGAGAAACGTTCCGCGGTGCAAAAATAAGTGCGATTAAAATGCGTTAATTTTTTTAACGCGTTAATTGTTGTGTAATTAATTAATCTTAATTAACGCGTTAAAGTCCCGGCCCTAGTTAAAACACACAGCCACCTACAAACACTGGCCGTCTGAAAACATTCTGTCAAAACCTTGTGTTTCCTGTAGAATAAATCACCAGCTATTCCATTCCGTTATTCATGTGCTAAGTAGACCCCTCTGCACCTGAGGGCGACTTGCATTTTTTTTCACCTCCCACTCACTCTGACTCTCATACCCGGATCATCTGATACAAACCCTAGTGACAATTCAGCTTAATCCCCACCCAGCCTCCCCTGCTGCTGTGCATCCCGGGGAAGTGAATTGTTGCGAGTGTGGAAATGAGGCTATTTCATGGATTCAAGCATTTTATATTCAACACACTGAAAGTACCACACAGTTTCGGGGGGGTTCTTATACTCCAGCAGAATTTGTTGGTCTTTTCCACTGATATCGGGGATAATTATAGATAATGAATTGATTGGGGTGATAAGTGTCAGACCACTAATGGAATGCAGTACTTAACCTCCATAATCCCTTTGTGCACTTCACTTAGTGTCAGGATAATTAGATTAATGCTGCTGATACCTCCTTTTTTCTCGCATACACGCAAACATACACTGTGCCTTGGGGATTTGAGTGAACTTGTCGACACATTTGAATGCATGGACATACTGTAGTGTAGTACACAGAGAGGGAGACTAGTTTAAATAAAAGTGGTATGTTGCTGAATTTTTTTTTATGAGAGGGTTTTGTTTTATTACTTAAAGCTTGCACTTCCTGCTGTCAGTTACATGTAATTTCATGCCAGCACAAGCAATTAACATACATTTGTAATATGTATGAAAGCATTCTGAATGAATATTTTGCTATGCTCTATCATCCAAAGAGGTATCACAAGAAATATCGCATTGGATAGTTGTAATTAAAGTTACATCACTTGGCTTAACAGCAGCAGGCATGATGTCCACAATGTTCTTCTACAGCCTGCCTTGGGATGATGACTCAAGATAAGCAATGAGTAACAGTTTAAAAAGTAAAAACAGCGAGAGATTTACTGAACCTGTCGGAGAGGATATGGCAGAGCTGGGTGATATACGACGGCAAGGAGGGCATGCAGCATAGCGGGCGACTCCAGCATTTCATCAGGATTGGCAAGAAACTCATATTTTACCCGAGCCATCGCCCAAGGGCTCTGCTTCACCACCTGAATCCCTACATCACTCCTATCAACTTGATAGAAAGCAAGATCTAATTGGCAGGTAGCATGTCACATTCCGAGATGACAGGGGGAAAACGAGGGGGGAAAGATGTTAGCAGGGAGAGGCCTTGGTAGGTATCAGTTAAACACCTTGTGTGAATTTAATGTTGTTATTCTAAGAAGTAATGCGATGCATGGACTGCCATTCAATTTTGTTCAGATATCCATAGTAACTAAATCCCTTTTTTAAGGTTATCTTCCTTGTTATGGTTATAATAACATCTACCTCTATAAGGTTAGGACTAATAAGTGGAACATGGAAAACATTATATTCGCTCAGCATGTTAACATTTAGCTTAAAGCTCCACTCTGCCTAAGTACAGCTTCAGAAGGCCACTAACCGCATGACACCATTGTTTGAATATCAACACAATGTTAAACACTGTTCACCTTCACACAGAGGAACCTCTCTGGGCTTTATTTAGCCACTGCAGCTATCAGGGCAGGGTTAGTTTAACTGTACTGCCTTACTAAAGCGGTGTTTACACGAGAACGAAACGGGTTGTATCTGCTACTTTTCTCTCGCGTAGGCCTATAGCCGTAACGGAACCGTGGAAACGGACCCCGCAATCGATAACGGGTACCAAGGTGGATAGATCTGCAAACGGAACGCTCTGGGGGGCCAAACGGCTCAGTGTGTACGCCCTATATGATCATTTCCTGATAACGATGAAGCCATAGCCCCACCTCTGCTGCTCACTGCTGTAGCATGGTCAGTAGCTACTGTCAGTAGCTACTGCTAGTGCTACTGCTACTGACCATGCTATAGATGTTAGTGCAAAATCTACAGCTCCTCTACCACAACCATCAGAAACAAGTGGACATGGAGAATTACATGAACTACATGTTGCTAAATCTACCGCGGGGCATAAACAGAAGGGCAACCATGGCAATCATGCTCGAGGGTCTTCTTCGCTGCTTTTGGTGTATTTTGTGGCAGAAGTACAGCGCCACTTACAGGTCCGGCATATGTACTACAGTGTCTTCAGCGCTTACGAGAGGTCTCGTGCGGAAGTACAGCGCCACTTACAGGCCCGGCATATGTACTACAGCCTTTCCAGTGGTCTTGTGTGAACGGACACGTTAAATGAGCTGAATGCGTGTGAACGGAATACTTTTTTGATAACGAATTCGGTCCATTTGCGTTTGCGCTCCCGAGTAAATGGGGTCTAAATGTTAACTTTTGGAATTAGTTGAGGCATACTCTCATTCACCACGCGGACCTTCAGCCTGTCTAGAGATTTGAATGGGCAACTTCTCCAGAGGGCTGTTTCTTTAACTTTTATGCTCCTACCAGTCAAGGACACCCAGGCCATCTGGAGCTGTGTAGGACCTTTGGGCCAGTGGCGACTCTAGCACCACTGAAAAAATGAAATGGCCCATTCTGTTTGGCTATCCTGATTAAGACTGGCCCACTGGGTCCACAGAGGTGTCTGTGTCCAGAGGGCATCAATTTATATCATCTGAGTCACATCTATCTTTGTTGTCCCATTCACTTTAGTACGTTACTCTCCTCACACACCACGGTAACACATATCAATCTTGATGTTATGATTTGTAACACATTGCAAGGTAAATTCACACATTATTATACTGTATTTCTGAGAAGAAACCCCTGATGCAACATCATCATTTTCAGATCTCATCTTGCGGTTGTTGATTAGAGAATTTAGTAACATTTGACTAGGGAGTGTTCTGACATCCAATGCTTCAGACAGAGATGTATCAGCTCAGACAGCAACATCTACCTCTGTTTGCAAACTAGAGACCAACTACAGCATTTCCATCATCACCTGCAAAGTATCACCTGCAAAGTATCAGTGCTGTGGCAGGCTTTTCATAATGACTGATGTCATCTCTGGCACTTTCATTTACTGTTCAAAGTGATGGACAAATGCCCAGAGTGTGCTGAAGGAGCGTGTCATCAAAATGTCTGTTGTTTCTGGCACTTGACATGCTGGCAGGGTGTCTGTCTCTTTCTTGCTCACGGTTAGGCGAGAAGATCGATTATGATTGGCTTCCCAGCAAGTGGTCAAGCTGACTTGGTAATGTGTGTTGACATGGAGATCAATTGAGCCTACTCAAGCAGATGGTATTAATCAAGCAATGCATAACAACTGTTTGTGATTAGCAGCCAATAAAGGCTCATTCCCTCTCATTAAACAAAACACCCAGCGGTGGCGCTTGTGTGGCAACGAACTAGTCTTCCTACCAAACTATCTCTGACTGATGTTGTTATGGCGATTAGACAAGCCAGTGTCGTGCTTAGTCAAACCTCAACCTTTGCACACGGCTTTGGATGTTACTATTATGCAATCGAAAGTGAAACTTAAGCTCGCTCCATTGCGGAGATATTCCCGCGAGAGTGCGGAAAACTTACATTTATTCATTTATTTCAAATGTGAAATGTTACCAATATACTCACGGACCACTAGGGGGCGCTCACGGACCACCAGTGGTCCGCGGACCACACTTTGAGAAGCACTGGGCTAGAGCCATAAAGTTATGAGATAACTGGGTTAGGCAATGGTCCTTTGGCTACCTTGTACTGAACAGACTCATTTTCTCTACCTTCATTGTTATGGCGACAAAACGTGTCCGTGGGCGGACGGATGGACACAGACAGACGGGCACATTTCTCAAAAAAGGCCTCTATTTTAGTTCCTGCTACAGAAGGGTCTCCAGGAGCATCATGATGACACACAAGCTGAAAACAATACCAGCATCTCGGTCTGTAATCCTTTCCATTTCATTTGAGCAGTGTAAATGTATTGTTTCTACATTAGAAGCAGAAAAATCTAATCAGTTTATAAAATACATGCTACTGCTAACTTTAACATCTCACTCTCCCTGTTTGTGCAAACTATGCACACTACTGAAGCTTGCTTAGCATCCAGCACTTTCTCTAGCCCATTCATCAAAAGGACCAGTGCTCTTGAGAGTGACAAGATTTATACACCATGGAAGAGAGGTGGAGAATTAGCCCAGATTTATGAGCACAAACTGCAATGGCAAGGCACTGGCAGCTGCTACTTGACATTTGAAATAGAGAATGTGAAAGAAAATTGGAGACGGGGGAAACAGGAAATTGGAATAACAGAGAGGTAGAGAGGACTGACGAATAAATGAAACATGAGCTGGTCCAGGATTAAAAAAAAGGTATGTGATTGGGAAAGCTAATTTGTATTGAATAAGGCAATATCACAGCAGTTTGGGTATTATAGGTGAACAGAACATTCATTTTAGGTTTGTGTTTCACATTGAATAAAATAGTGTATATTGATCTATAATATGAAAGGGTAATTAATATAGATCCTACTGAGAATAAACATGTGTGGTTGATATCCAAAGGCAATGAGGTGAACTTCCCTCGACCTGAAAGGACTTGATGGGTGGACTACAATGCAAGATATACAGTCAAGTCCCAGTTCAGGAGCTTTCCAACTTTCTATTCACCACTGTCACTTTAGGGTTGATAACATGGTCCCATTCCTTGAGAAAGTAAGACTGTATACATTGATTCTCAGCGATTGCTGGGACACCACACTTTAGCAGAAATTATAGTCATGATAGGTTTACAAAACATCAATTCAGACTATAGCTGAACAGCAGGGCAAAAAATAAATGCTGTTCGGAAATCACAAGAAGCGCTGGAAAGCATGTCAGTGGGTCTGTATATGAAACAAAAATGTAAACAACTGAAAAGCACAAGAGTACCATCATGCAAAGAATAATTAGTTGGTTTTCTGATTTGCAAGTAAAAAACTATTACTTAACAAGCTATTCTCTATGCGTAAAAGTTCCTTCCACATCCAGAGTGAAATTGGTCCAGTAATGCATTTATTCAGAAGAGATGCTGCCATCTCACTACCTTCAGGAAATGAAAGAGCCTTTTCATCAGACCAAGAAGATGGCTGACACAACCCACGTTTACTGGTTCTATTCGTACATAGCACTTCTTAAAAAGACGGTAATTTCCCCTAAGTAAAAAATTGTGAACAGGACATGAATGCCCTGAAAGGCCACGTCATAGTGGGAAGCTGCCCTTCTCACCTTTGCTTAGAAGGCATGCTGGGGTGGCTGGAAGATTAGACAGGTGATAAAAAGCAAAGAGAGTTTTTCTGGCCGTGGCAGTATACGCAGTCACATCCACTCTGAGTGAACTGTGTTGAGGTGACACAGAACCACAGAGGACAGTCAGTGCATGGCCTTGCGGCACACATTCACATCAAAACTAAGTCCACATCTGACTCCATTAGTCTGCCAGTTGCTTGCACTCTACCTACCTTCATCATGATTCCCCCACATCCAGTGTGCAAATAAAACATCAGAGGTTGGGGACAATCCCCTGCCAACGCTAGTCAGACACGTCTTGGCTTGATGGAAAGAGCCCCAGGAGAAGGCTAGATGGCATTGGTCTACAGTTCTTTGCTACTGAAAGTTGTTGCTGCAAGGATTGTTTTTTGGGGATGACAGGACGAGCGTAGGAGAGCCTTCATTGACGCAGATCATCTCCTTCTGTCTGATGCTCTCTCAAGATCAAGATATTGTTAGGTCACAAGACACATCTTAACCTACCTAAAATAGACCAAATCTCTCGCATTGAGATAATGGAAGTATATCAACCTGAAGACTTCCCTGGGTGTTTCTTTATGCCAAGATTTATGAGATGAGGTATCATTATTTTATTCTGGCAGCCAGTATTGAGTCAGAAACAACAGAGTTAAACCAATAAAAACCTGTAAGAGCAGGACAGCAGGTCCAGATCAGAATCTATCCAGCAAACGTCAATCACACAGCACACATTCTACAGATCTGTCTCTTCTATGGAGTCTTTATCCTTTTGTGATAATAGTCTTACATAAATTGCTACACTTGATTTTACTCAATCATCACTTGATCTTAGCATAATCACTTGGGGATGGCATCAGCTGAGGCACAACAGTCTCTTTTAATGGAGTTTTCCTTATGGGTAGTGTTGTACTGTGTGCGTATAAAATATAAGAACCACGAACATGAAATGATGAAGCGGTTTCTGATGTGTTTGACTATGATCCCTCGACAGTAGAAAACCCCAAGATGAAACATAAAGACAGTGAGTTTGGGAATAGATAAAGGCTCAATTGTAGGCTATTGAGTCTGTTAAAGCCTGCAGGCATTCTTCCTGGAGTTTTGGAGCCTGACTGTATTATGTCAGATGTAGGCTGTTGCATCAACAGGAAGTTATATCTAACTTCCCTCTCTTATTGCCTGAGGGGGAAAATATAAATGAACCTGAACATGTGTTATTCATTCCAAGACTGTCGTCAAAAAGGCAACCACAAGCCTGCTCAGTGGTTAATGTTTAATAGACTTAAAGGACATGATTGCGTTTTGGCACTCTATCAAATTTGTGAAGCAGCCATATTGAGTGCCGAGATAAAATGTTTGGCTCCATACTCCTAATGACACAAATGACCTCCATCATAAGTCCATGCCTACTGAAGTAACTGCAGCTGTCCTGTTTTTAACAAAATGTCTTGACGTCACAAGGACACTAATTATGTTTTTGATATAATCACTTCACAAAAGCTCTCGATGATTAGCTCAAGTGGCTTCTCTAATGAAAATGATGTCTTGCTTTGTTAACCTTGTGTGGCTTTAACAGTCAGGTGTTGAACAGTGTAAGACGTGGGCTGCATACTGAAAATATATTTTTTTCCATCAAGAATATAAACCCTTAGCCTGAAGAACTCCATCAAATCTCCTCAGCGTTTATGCTTTTATAACTGGGTTATGGTTGGATGTGCTTTACTGCCCACTTTATTGTTGCTTTATGAAAATCAATATGTCATTTTATGGCAAATCTAACAAATACTTTCAATAAACTGTTAATGGGTCATCTAATCTCCTACGGCCAATTACTTTAGGAAAGAGGAAGGGAGCAGTCTTTCAAGCCTCATTTACAGGACAGGATCATGTTGCTAATGTTTTAATTTCTCTCTATTGGGAATCATTTCTTAATGACAGTCAGCTGAAAAGCTCTTGCAAGACATTTGTGAGAATCATCGCTGTCATTACTCAGTCTAACCAATTGTTAGTGTGTCACAGCTGTATGCTACATTATCTTTTTGTTCATATCGAAATAGTGATCGATGTCAGTCACTTTGAGAGCAAATGTTTCTAACTGACACTGCACAGTTGATGCAACTTAACATAATGACATATGCTCTAACTTGCCATGCAGTCTGAGAGAGATGAGTCACTCCTTATTTTATAGTCATCTCATTTACACTGTGATTGTGTTGATAATAAGAAGGAGAGGGTGCAGAGCGTTTGGTCTGAATGCTAATGTTTGTATACACCTTGTCTTGTGCTTTCGAGACAGCCTAAACAATGCACAACCCTCATGGGAGCTCTCCAGCACCACATTCATTTACATTACACTACAGGCCAAAACCACATAAATCAATCTGTCAATGCTAAGCTACTTGGGCATTTAAATTGGCTTAAGTTTAGCCCGCTAGTATGTTACAATGCCATCTGTACAATGTGATAATTCAAACCAATTGATCTGGTTACAAGCATTTTGCCCCATAATTCACTGTTTTGGAAATGGAGCTAATGTATGTAGACCGAGAACACAATAGTTTCATCTCTGTGGGATCGACACAGATGGGTCAAACATGCTGTTTTCATTGCACAATTCTGCCCATGCTTGCTGTGAATATATGAGTGTTGGTTTTGGAAATCATTATTTTTTAAAACCAGCTTCCTGGTAGTTGCAGCAATGCCAAGCTGTAATAGAAACCTGGAAAAGAGCACCAGCTCCACATGGTCTTTTAAAATATTATTAAAGCTAATATAGGGATTCTTATGTTTAGATGTTGCGTTGAATAGGTATGTTGCAACAGTATTATATAATCAGGAGACTAATGGCAGAGTGAGGGCTACAGGGAAGAATTTTGCATGCTAAAACCTCTGGCTTCTATATCTCTATTCATCCCTCCTAATCTTTAGTGTGCCCTGGGTATTTTATAATGCCATGATATACCATGGCGAGGTGTATGGGCTCAAGGATTTTGCAGTATGTTGATATCAGCCAAAAGGCAGAGTTGAGAAGTGGAACAATTATTTTGCTCTGCATGTAAATGGCTGCTTTAATTACCTTCCAACAGCTGCATATGAAGATGACACAGATGACCTTTATCAGCCAGTGATCTAAAACTTACCAGGGATATGCTGTTTTATCATTCTGCCTCCTATTCACATGTTTACCTCCCTTTGTTTAAAGGGATCGACACTGTCTTGTGATTTATGAATTGCTTTCCATAAGCAAGGGAACAAAGCAGTCATAATTGTTGATTTGTTGATTAGATTTATTTTCAGAGAAAACTCATAACTCTGCAGCGCAATGTCATTGATTGTTTCGCTATTTATGTGGTGCTGTTAACTACAATTGCACTCATTCTACATCTCAAAATGACCATATGTAATGAAAGTAGGTTCTTAATATGCTGTGGCGTGTGCAGCTGTCACACTATCAGCTGCTAAGATGGAGCCAACTAAACGAGAGGAAGGACAGATAAACAAAAATACAATAGCCGTGTTTTCTATTGCAAGCTATTCATTCTAAACAAGGATTTGGAGAGTAGAGTAGAAATAATAAATTGAGGAATCAGTGTGGTGAAGGTCACGGGGAGTAACACAGGAAGGAGCAATAGTTCCAAACATAAAATAGGACACAACATTCACTAAACAAATGTCAAATTGTCACGAAGCAAGCTGGATTTATGAAAGGAATTATGTTGAAAGCAAACAGTCTGATAAAGACTTGGCCCTGGAGTGGCATTGTATAGCAAAATGAGAAGTCATAATGTCACTCTTTGATTCTGCAATGGCCATTAAATGTAATGTCAGTGAATGTGTATGTATACCATTTCATGTTCTCATTTCTGTATAGTGGACAGAAATTGCCTGTAGCAAAGCACAGAATCAATCCCAATAATATTGCATCTTTCAGGGTGTGCAGTTTCTCAGACAACTTGAATGAAATGCACCCTTCACATCTCCAGTTTAAGACATTCAATTTCCTGCTGCTTCTTGGGGCAGAATACTGCAGTGAAAGATCAATGCAAAATGACTGGAAAATTGCTAATGTTATTTACATCAAAGTGAGACTGGAGGAGACCAATTATGCCACTGATTCAAGGCAATATTCCTAAGTGAGTTGTCCCTTGGGTGATAACCATATAACATTCTGATATTATTAACATTCTGAGACCCACCCACCATTGTTTCTTTTAAACATAAACTGAGATAGCTTTACAGGAGGCATTTGATGTGCTGTAGAGTTCATGTAATATTGTCTACAATTATGTATTTAGAAATGTATGGTGGAATCCTCCTAAGCCTAGAAGATGCACAAATACATGCAAATACTATTTTGTTGTGAGGGTAAAACAGATCTAAGAGTGCGGCATAGAATGTGATATTACCATTTGATGTCTTTGCTGAGACACAGCTATGCATCTTGTGGCGGCAGCGTGGTTGTATATTTCATGTTTCAATTTGCAGTTGGAGTTTACCTCTGTCTCAAGGAAAGAGCTGTGAGATGATCTGTTACTGTGGAGAAATCTGATTTTCTCGGCGAGATGGTATACGGATCCAGCAACATGTGTATTGTATCTATTTGTGTGTGTGTGTGAGAGAGAGAGAGTGAGAGAGAGTGTGTGTGTATGTGTGCTGGAAATTGTTAGGGAACACATTCTTTTCTGAGGAGAGCAGACTCATATTGGAAAAACAATAATAGCAACATGTGTGACAAATGGCTGCAGCGTCTACACAGGAGTACATAAAAGAATGAAGAACAAAGCTGAAGCAAATAGCTGGGCTGGACTTTTTTAAACATTTGCTGTTGGTATGACCACATTTGATTGGCAAAGGCTGGTAATCCATGGCAACTTTGCACTATCATGCCTGCATGCATAAGTGAAGCATGGGCCAATCTCAAATGAAACACATTTCAATCAAGCCATTTCAAATCAGGCAAGCTGATGAAAATGGAACAGCTTTCAAAAAGCCATGGTGCATCTCCCTGACCAACATGAGTGTTTATTTAGTTATGATGCTACCATTAACTACCAATTGAGAAACTGCTTGTTAGAAAATGTTTAAACATTCAAAGTTCCTAATGTCAAAAGGATCAAATCTCTAATGACTCAGATAATTACATATGAGTGAAAAAAGATTGGTCTATCCAAGTCCTAGAACCACCAAGTGAATGTCACATAAAAGCATATTATATAACAAGTTTTGTTTTCTCACCACTTCAATATATCTATAGCTTTAGCTTTAATGAAAATAACAGAATAAATTACAACAGCTATAGAAAGAAAGAAATACACAATAGGTGTATTTATTGACTAAAAAAACGCATTTGACAGACCATAACCTATTAATTTCGAAATTACATAGATATGGTGTGAGAGGAGTAGTTCTAGATTGGTTTAAAAGTTATTTAGATAACAGAGAACAATATGTACAATTTGCTGGTAGTACATCGGAGTGTATGAACATAGAATGTGGTGTCCCACAGGGCTCGGTTTTAGGGCCTAAACTTTTATTTTGTACATCAATGACATATGTGAAACGTCAACATTATTGCAATGTGTGTTGTTTGCAGACGACACCAATTTTCTTTGTTCAGGAGATGATTTAAACATTTTAGCAAAGTGTATTGGACATGAAATGGTCAAACTTAAAAGATGGTTTGATGAAAATAAGTTAACCCTAAATTTGAATAAAACTAAGTTTATGGTTTTTGCTAATAGACAAAAAAGATGAAAACATTTTACTGTCCATTGATGGAGTTTTTATTGAAAGGGTTTCTGAATTTCGATTTCCATTTGTGACACTGGATGATAATCTGACATGGAAATCACAAATAGCACATGTTAAAAGTGTCTAGGAATATTTCTGCTCTAAACAAGGCAAAGTATTTGCTAGATTACAAGGCATTGAGAATGTTATACTGTTCACTCATTTTGCCATTTTTTATTTATTGTATAGAAGTTTGGGGCAACACGTATATGACCAACATAAAGCCATTGTCAATATTACAGAAAAGAGCAGTACGAATAATTCATAAAGCTGATTCAAGAGAACACACCAACCGACTGTCTTTTAAGTCAGGACTCTTGAAAATTCAAAGACATAGTTGAGTTACAGACATTATTAGTAATGCACAGGGCAAAAAGCAGAATGTTACCAGTATATTTATAACAGTCATTTGTTTTTGGATCAGACAAGGAAGACCACAGAAGGAAATTAAATTTTAAGCATCCTTATGCAAGGAATATTCTAAAGCAAATGTGTATTTCGGTGGTTGGTGTAACATTGTGGAATTCTCAACAGAAGGATCTAAAGAATAGTATATGTATTTTTTCAGTTAAAGAAATTGTATACAAATGGGACTATATGAAGCAGAATGTGAATACGTCTATGCACTCTGGTCCTGCATTGGTAAATATTGTTGATGTCTTTGATGTGATGTCTGTTCTTTATTTGCAGGTCCCATTGTTATTATTATTATTATGCGCCGCTTTCCACCTTCTTCTCCAGTAGGACTCAGGTGAGGGTGTTGCACTTTTCCTTATACATGTGATGTTTTTGTGTTGTTTTTGTTGTTGTTTTGTTTCTTTCCGTTAACCGTCAAGTGGGAAATAAGTATTTTTTGTGTTTCTCTTTGTATCCTAAGATACTGTTATGTTTGGCTGTGAATATGTTTGGCTGTGAAAAAGAAATATGAAGGACAGACCATCTATTTCTATTTCTTTTTTTTAGAAAGGGGAAGTTCATATAAGATGTTTTTCTTCTCCCTGCTCCTTTTCGCTCAATGGTGTGTTTGTAGAGACATGTTTGTTGGCAATTATTGTACATTGGGTTTTGCGTACCATGAGCAGAACAAATAACAACACAATTAAATATTATATCGGAAATTAAACCTGATTGACAAAAGAATAAGGCTAATACCACATTAACTTGTTTTCTGCGTTCTTTAAACGAAAAGTCACTTGTTAAGAGAGAGACTTGTGCGGTTAAAAAATGCGGTCCAAGGTTGTTCAAGGCTGAACATGACATTGAAGTTTTCTAAAGAATCTCACACTGTTTTGTTTGTTGGCCAGTGTCTCTAAAGAGTTTCTAATCATTTAGACGATCAAAATCTACAGTGATATGTGTTGAAAGATGCCATTTATATTTTAAATTTCTCTTTTTTCTGTCAATATTTTTGGTTGTCATTTAGACTGGAATTACTGTATGAAGATGAATGCTTTGATCGAACACATTATGTGGAAAATCCGTCTCCCACTCCAACCTCCCTCTACCTGCTCCCTCCTCCTGCCACCCTGGAAGGGCGGAGCCTAATCAATAAAGGCAGCCAGCTCACCTGTGGCACATCCTTTCCCCCATGAACAAAGAAGCTGGCTGGCCTCATGCAACTCCTGAGCACCAATTGTTTGTCTGAGGAAATGATCAGTAAGTTTTCCTTTTCTTTGTATTGTATAGCAGCTTGAGTAGTTTATCTCCCTATTTTCTGTACTGTTTAGATTGCATTTAGTTACCTTATTTATTACATATACAGTGGGGCAAAAAAGTATTTAGTCGGCCACCAATTGTGCAAGTTCTTAAAAAGATGAGAGGCCTGTAATTTTCATCCTAGGTACACTTCAACTATGAGAGACAGAATGGGGGTAAAGAATCCAGGAAATCACATTGTAGGATTTGTAATGAATGAATTGGTAAATTCCTCGGTAAAATAAGTATTTGGTCACCTACAAACAAACAAGATTTCTGGCTCTCACAGACCTGTAACTTATTCTTTAAGAGCCTCTTCTGTCCTCCACTTGTTAACTGTATTAATGGCACCTGTTTGAACTCGTTATCAGTATAAAAGACACCTGTCCACAACCTCAAACAGTCACACTCCAAACTCCACTATGGCCAAGACCAAAGAGCTGTCAAAGGACACCAGAAACAAAATTGTCGACTTGCACCAGGCTGGGAAGACTGAATCTGCAATAGGTAAGCTTGGTGTGAAGAAATCAACTGTGGGAGCAATTATTAGAAAATGGAAGACATACAAGACCACTGATAATCTCCCTCGATCTGGGGCTCCACGCAAGATCTCACCCCGTGGGGTCAAAATGATCACAAGAACGGTGAGCAAAAATCCCAGAACCACACGGGGGACCTAGTCAATGACCTGCAGAGAGCTGGGACCAAAGTAACAAAGGCTACCATCAGTAACACACTACGCCACCAGGGACTCAAATCCTGCAGTGCCAGACGTGTCCCCCTGCTTAAGCCAGTACATGTCCAGGCCCGTCTGAAGTTTGCTAGAGAGCTAGAGGAGATCTGCATGGAGGAATGGGCCAAAATACCAGCAACAGTGTGTGAAAACCTTGTGAAGACTTACAGAAAACGTTTGACCTCTGTCATTGCCAACAAAGGGTATATAACAAAGTATTGAGATGAACTTTTGTTATTGACCAAATACTTATTTTCCACCATAATTTGCAAATAAATTCTTTAAAAATCAGACAATGTGATTTTCTGGATTTTTTTTTTTTCTTCTCATTTTATCTCTCATAGTTGAGGTATGAAAATTACAGGCCTCTCTCATCATTTTAAGTGGGAGAACTTGCACAATTGGTGGCTGACTAAATACTTTTTTCCCCCACTGTAATTATGTAAAAAGAGAACTGCTTTGCTGGATTATAATTTGAAGCATGAATATTATGTTTGAGCTGATTAAGATGTGTTTTCTTTCCAGATCAACCAGACAACAATTAGGAATAACAAGAATCAACAAGTTACAATAAAAAGAATGATCTGGAACTCCTGCCTCCATGTGCACATCTTTAAATCCATTGCGTTGTTTATCCCTGAACCAACCACCCTCACCACACAATATTCTTCATGGTCCTTCGAGCCGGAGGAGTCAGGCCGGAGGACAGAGCTGGAGTCAGGCCGGAGGACAGAGCTGGAGTCAGGCCTGAGGACACAGCAGCAGTCAGGCCGGAGGACAGAGCTGGAGTCAGGCCGGAGGACAGAGCTGGAGTCAGGCCGGAGGTCACAGGAGGAGTCAGGCCGGAGGTCACAGGAGGAGTCAGGCCGGAGGTCACAGGAGGAGTCAGGCCGGAGGACACCGCAGCAGGAGTCAGGCCGGAGGAGACATGAGGAGTCAGGCCGGAGGACAGAGCTGGAGTCAGGCCGGAGGACACAGGAGTGAGGATGAGAGTGAACTCAGTGTCAGTGAACTCAGTCAGTCTTGGTGGTAAGGAGAGGTACAGACAAGGAATCTGATCCTGGGTCCGCAGCCTTTTCTGCCTGTGTGGCTGAAGGACCCTCAATGTCTAGTGGTGGAATCTCCCCCACTCTGGTTGCTGGTTCAACTGCCAAAGTCACGTTAAGAAGGCTTTCGTAAATCCTCTTTATGGTTAAGAGTGCATTTTTACCATCTTCTGTCTCAATTTGCCATGGACAGAGGCAATCGGCCGCAAAACCATTTGTGCCTCTCTTGGCAAGAAGGAAGATGGGATGCCGCTCAAGAAGTTTCCATTTGTTGAGCAGTAGATTTGTTGAGTCATAAACTTTGTTAACACTGTTTTTTTTTGCTGCATGGCCTTCCACTCCTGTGCAACCTTTTCCTTTTGTTTGGTTAGTTTCTCCTTGTAGGGTTGGTTGGCACCACATTGCCTGCATTTCTTGCTGGCTACTCCTATTTTGTGTTTGCAAATCTGGCACACGTTTTGAGTAGGCATCTGGTTAAGGACTTGATGTTTGAGAGCCACACACAAAGTGATCAGAGTGGGTGGTCGGTTGCGCAAAAGTGAAGATCTGGATTATAACAATATCCATCCTGTGGTTTCGGATCCAAAACACTACATCACACAACTGCTGATTAAGGACTTTGACAAGGAGCTACACCACCCTGGGCCGGAGAGAGTCTTTGCCACCCTCAGGAGGAATTCATGGATCTTGCGTGGAAGACAAGCAGTGCAGAAACACCAGCATTCATGCATGGAGTGCAAGAAATGAAAGGCAAACCCAGTAATTCCTAGGATGGCTGATCTACCCTTGTCTCGCCTGCGATTATTCAAGCCCCCTTTCTGGTCCACAGGGATGGACTGCTTTGGCCCTTACCTTGTCAAAGTCGGCGAGAAAAGATGGGGAATACTTTTCAAATGTCTGACCAGACACACGGTGCATTCATATCGACCTCCTCCCTAGTCTGGACACAGACAGCTTCCTCATTGCATTACACCACTTCGTAGCACGACGTGGAACCCCCTTTGAAGTCATATCAGACCATGGCACCAACTTTGTGGGAGGGGCGAGGGAGCTGCAAAAAACCTTTGACCAGTTAATCCCTGCTCTTCAAGAACAATTGTCTAAACACAAAGTGCGTTTCTTGAGGAATCCCCCGCATGCTCCCCACTTTGGACGAACCTGGGAAAGGGAGGTGAGAGCCAATAAGAAAGCATTATGTGCATTACATGTTACTTGTTAGATGCAAAGCGACTTGCATACTCAATACAGTGGGCAATCCCCAGAGGAACAATTTGGGGTGAAGTGTCTTGCCCAGGGACACAACGACATGCTGACTGCAGTGGGGTTTGAACCTGTGCTCCCCTGATCCGAATTCCAACGCATTAGGCCACTGCGCCACACGCCTCCCCTGTGTGCAACCTTGGGTAATCAATCTGTCAGGGAAGACCAGGGGGGTATACTACGAAGCAGGATTTTCGTTTAGCAAGATAACTTCTGGGATTTCCGGTCCTACGAAGCTGGTTCACTTTTTAGCGGGATAGATCTCCATGGTGACTTATCCTGGAACCTAGTCTGTGCTCAGAAGCAGGATAGGTTCCAGGATAAGAGATCAACTCAGCGAAAGCACCACGCCTGCTGACCAATCAGAGCAGGAAATACAGTTTAAACTGCCGTTGCAGGAAAGACGGCCGGCCAAAATCACCGACTGTGAACGTGAAAATGAATAGAACATCACCTCCCATCTTCAGAGTAATCTGACTATTATAACTATACTATTATTTTAAGAAAGCTTAATTAAATATCTGCCACAACATAAGTAACCGGATCAAAGTAACATTACGTTGCCTACAGTCCGCGGCACTGTGAGTGCAGAGGTCGATGTGTTCCATTATCATTCATATCACATCATAACGTATCATATATCTCCTTATCTGAGTCAGCTGAGCCGTATCTGGCCGTGCAACACTCACAGTGTCACATACTGTATGCAGAAGTATTATTTTAAGCAACACATTAAGTTGACGAAACACTCGAGACAAATGTAATTAAAGTCAGATCGTGTCTTAGACCAACCCAGTCTCACGGCATTTCGTGTTCACCAACACGATTTTTAATCTATTGATTCGTGTTCACCAACACGATTTGTCCCTTTTTTCGTGTTGCACAGCACGATTTTAAAAGCAATGTATTTCTACTGCCTGCAGCACGTCTTTTTCTCCGGTCGGGTCGTGGGAGACCGGAAGCTGTGTGGTTCATAAAAACATGTTCTTACTCAATATCAAGCCACAATAATTAGTGATATCATAAACCTGTTAATGTACGCATTCAAACACTTGTTCTGTTTCCAGCTGTATTCACCTTGCAGGTGCAGCTATGTGGCTTTTACCCTGGACAAAGTGTTTAAGTCATGGATGTTTAAAGTTTAACTTCTTCATATTTGACTAATATTAAAGTTGACTTTTCATTCAGGAAGTATGACGCTGCGCTGTCAGTACGCTTCTCCATGTTTGTGATTGGTCGAATGCTCCAGATACCACCTCTTTTATGTGAACGCGCACCTAACTAGATAGGACACGGCTGACTTGAACGAACGAGTTGATAGCCAGCGTTGTAGTTTAGCGAGAGCGGCTTTGTTTTGGATTAAGTCAACCGGATAACTCAAAACATATCCAGGATAGGTTTAACTAGATTCGTAGTATACCCCCCTGTACTCATAGAGGTTGTGGAAATCCTGAACTCCAAGCCCCTTGGTTACATCTCCTCTGACATATCAGACCCTGACCCAGTGACCCCAAATCTTCTCCTGATGGGGTGGCTTGAGGCAGCCCTTCCCCCGGTTGTATATGCCCGTCCTGACCTTCTGGTACAAGGAGATGGCGGCACAGTCAAGTGCTCGCAGAGCAATTCTGGGCAAGCATTATAAAGAACTACCTCCCCTTCAAACTCGGCAAAAGTGGAGAGGGGAGAAACCAAATCTCACCCTGGATGCCAGTGTAATTGTTGTGGACCCAAATCTATCACGGGCATCTTGGCCCATAAGAAAGGGTCAGAAACTTCTCCCGAGCTCAGATGGTAGAGTCAGAGTGGCTGAGGTACTAATTAAAGGGAAATCATATGTACGTATGTAAAATCTGTCTCCCACTCCAACCTCCCTCTACCTGCTCCCTCCTCCTGCCACCCTGGAAGGGCGGAGCTAGCTAATCAATAAAGGCAGCCAGCTCACCTGTGGCACATCCTTTCCCCCATGAACAAAGAAGCTGGCTGGCCTCATGCAACTCCTGAGCACCAATTGTTTGTCTGAGGAAATTATCAGTGAGTTTTCCTTTCCTTTATATTGTATTTTCATAGCAGCTTGAGTAGTTTATCACTATTTTCTGTACTGTTTAGATTGCATTTAGTTACCTTATGTATACATTACATATAATTATGTAAAAAGAGAACTGCTTTGCTGGATTATAATTTGAAGCATGAATATTATGTTTGAGCTAATTAAGGTGTGTTTTTTTACCAGATCAACCAGACAACAATTAGGAATAACAAGAATCAACAAGTTACAATAAAAAGAATGATCTGGAACTCCTGCCTCCATGTGCTCATCTTTAAATCCATTGCGTTTATCCCTGAACCAACCACCCTCAATATTGTTCACATTTGAAAACATTTCTAATATTTCTTTGAAAATTAAAGACTTTTGTCCTTTTGATGTTAGCAGATGAGTAAATATATATAAATGATCTGAAACACTGTCACCTAATGGGTCTCACTTAACTCTTGTGTTATGTTCACATTTCGCACCCTTTGGTAATGTTCGGGTCAAATTGACCCGGGACATATTTCAGGGTTTAAAAAAAAATACAGAACTAAATTCAACATGCACAATTCTTTATTGTCTTTAACTCATTCCCCAACAATATAAATGAAATATATGATTAGTTTTTGAAAATACTCTTTGCTAGATCAAATTTAACAATGGAAGTGTCCATAGTTTTTTGTGATAAAAATGTAATTTATGTTAAAAAAAAAATACACTGTAATAAAAACTAGGTTTACATTTTGCTCATGCTTTTCTAGGACAAATGTAATTGAAACATCCATCCATCCATCTTCTCCCGCTTATCCGTGGTCGGGTCGCGGGGTAGCAGTTCCAGCAGAGAGCCCCAAACTTTCTTTTCCCTGGCGACATCAACCAGCTCTGACTGGGGGATCCCAAGGCGCTCCCAGGCCAGCGAAGAGATATAATCCCTCCACCTGGTCCTAGGTCTACCCCTTGGTCTCTTCCCAGCTGGACGTGCCTGGAACACCTCCCTAGGGAGGCGCCCAGGTGGCATCCTAACTAGGTGCCCGAACCACCTCAACTGGCTCCTTTCGACGCGAAGGAGGAGCGGCTCAACTCCGAGTCCCTCCCTGATGACCGAACTTCTCACCTTATCCCTAAGGGAGACACCAGCCACCCTGCGGAGAAAACCCATCTCGGCCGCTTGTATCCGCAATTGAAACATTTTTTCATTAATGTTTATTATTTTTAATCTGTCATATAATAATCAAAGCCCTGAAGGAAATAAAGC